AAGTTGCGGGTGGCTGGGTGGGATGGTTGCGCGAACAGTGAAGTTGTCAACTCCATTCTCGACAAGGAGATTTGCACTACTTAGATTGCCCGGCATACGTTTCACAACGTTTATTGCACAACGTAGATGGCTAGAAACGTACTGTTTTGGGTCCACGCAAGCTAACGTGCACAGATATACATTTATACAAATGCATATTCCCTTTTCTATGTTTTTATAATTCCGGGGGGGCGGACCCCCACCCCCCGAAACGGGACCCCCCGGATCCGTGCCACGGGGGCGGCCGAAAATCCTTTCCAAGGCGTGCACGCAGGCGGGCGGCTATGCCAAATCGGTCGGCGCAAGCCCACAGAGACACCCAAGACAGTCCAGGATAGCACCCGGGTAGCCTGAAAGACCCTCCGCGAGAGCCCCAAGACCGTTCTCAAAGGGGGCCCGAGAGAACAAAATCATTGAATTTCCATTGGTTATTCAATGTTTTTAGCGTCCTCGCTTTTTCGGGTTGCCGACGCTCCCGGACCGCCCAAGAAGCTCCCAAAACCGCTCCAAGACGGCCCAAGAAGCCCCCAGAGCGCGCTGAGAGCGCCCCAAGACGGTCCAAGACGCGCCCGAGATGGCCCACGAACGCTCCAAGACGGCCCAAAAAGGGGCCCCAGGGGGGACCACGAACTGAAAATACGAGCCCCCCGCCCCGAGAAGTCCCAAGGAGGCCCCAAGAGAGCTCCACAGGGCCTCGGGAAGCCCCCGTAAGTAGCTCCGGTGAGGCTCCCAAAACATCCTAAATTGTTACTTTTCCATTGGTTTTCAATGTTTTCGGCGTCCTCGCTTTTTCGGGTGTCCGACGCTCCAAGACCGCCCAAAAAGCTCCCCAAACCGCCCCACAACAGCCCAAGAGGCTCCCAGAGCGCTCTGAGAAAGCCCCAAGACGGCCCAAGACGCGTCCGAGATGGCCCACGAACGTTCCAAGACGGCCCAAAGAGGAGCCCTAGGGGGGACCACGATCTGAAAATACGAGCCTCCCGCCCCGAAAGAGCCCAAGGAAGCCCCAAGAGAGCTCCAAAGGGCATCGGGAGGCCCCCTAAGACGTTTCGGTGAGGCTCCAAAAACATTCAAAAATGTTACTTTCCTATTAATTTTTCAATGTTTTCAGCGTCCTCGCTTTTTCTGGTTTCCCACGTTCCAAGACCGCCCAAGAAGCCCCCAAAACCGCTCCACAACGGCCCAAGGGGCTCCCAGAGCGTCCTGAAAAGCCCCAAGACGGTCCAAGACGCGCCCCAAGACGGTCCAAGACGGCCCACGAACGCTCCGAGACGGCCCAAAGAAGGGCCCCAGGGAGGACCCGACAACTAAAAATACGAGCCTCCCGCCCCGAAAGGGCCCAAGGAGGCCCCAAGAGAGCTCCAAAGAGCTTCGGGAGGCTCCCTGGGAAGCTCCGGCGAAGCTCCAAGAAGCTTCCAAATCGTTAATGTTCCATTGGCTTAAGCGGAGGAGGAGAAGGAGGAGGAGGAGGAGGAGGAGAAGGAGGCAGAGAAAGAAGGAGAACGAGGAGGAGGAAGAGGATGAGGAGGAGGAGGAGGAGGCGGAGGAGGAGGTGGAGGAGGGGAAGGAGGAGGAGGTGGAAGAGGCCACAATCCCGGGTTCGCAACCAGTTTTCCAGAAATTCGGTTGCGAACCCGGGATTCCAGCTGTGTCCCGCGCGGCCCCCACTCATATGCGCCATTCCATGCGCCCGCGGCCTCCATCTCGCAGTTTTGGCCCGTCCCAGGTTGATTGCCCCCCTTTCTGCTCTTCCTGCGCTTCTCCGAAGTACGAACCAGCGGACCGCGGCTAAAATGGAAAAAAGGATGGCACCACGGGCCAACCATTCCAAAGCTTCAAGGAACAAGGTGCATGGCGCGAAACGGCAATGCAGCCTTGTATATATACACACACATACATTCATACATCTAAGAAAGATCGAGAGAAGGATAGAGGATACATAAAGAGAGAGAGAGAGAGAGAGAGCGAGAGAGAAAACAAAAGAAACACGAATAGAGGGACAGATGGAGAGAGAAGGGAAACAAAACATCTAGAGAGAACAGAGAGAGAAACAGGGAGAGAAAAGGGAGAGAGAACGCAAGAGAGAGAGAGAGTACAACAGATAGACCGATAGAGACAAACACACATGAATCGGTAAGAGACAGAGAGAGAGGGATAGGGAGAGACAGAGAGAGAGAGGGAGAAAGAGAGAGACAGAGACAGAGACAGAGAGAGAGAGAGAGAGAAAAAAAAAAGAGCCGTATATACATAGAGAGAGAACAACAAAACAATTGCAACAATTCCGACACGGGTCTCTGGGCCGGGCGGGTGCTAATGCCGCCTGGGCCACCCTTACACTGGCGGGAGGCGCCGCTTGACCAGCAAGGATGGGAAACAGCCTCCCTCTGGCCCGGTCGAAAACGTGACCCCGACAGGACAAAAAGTGGAAGAGCGCGGCGATGGGGGCGCGATCCGCCTCTCTGCGCGCCCGTGCTGTAGGGAGGCATGCGGATTTAGGCGCGCCATGGCCTGCGCACCCTGATTGCCCTGGGAAGAACGTCTCCGCCTTGGGACGCCCCCCTCGGCGGCCAAGTGCCAGGTCTACGGGTCATGTTGCCAGGTGTTCTCGCAGCGCACGAAAGAAGGACATAAGGAGGCTAGCACTGGTGCGCTCGCGGTGAGCAGCAAGTCGCGCATGGAGGTATTGCTGGAAAGAGGGCGGAAGGAGAGAGAAAAAGAGAGAGAGAGATGTAGAGAGAGAGAGAGAGACAACAACAGAAAGACACCCCTTCGACACAGCATAAGGACGGGCCCCCTCTTGCCCCTCCCCCCCCTCTCTCTCCTCTCCTTCCCCCCCCTGCTCTCTGTCCCTCCCCCTCTCCCTCCCCCTCCCGCTCCCCCCTCACACTCCTCTTCCTCCCATTCCTCCACCTCCTCCTCCGCCTCCTCCTCTTCCTCTTCCTCCTGTTGTTGTTGTTCCTCATCCCTCCTCCAGCCCGAATGCGACGGAGTGGTGGGGCCGCATCTGATCAGAGGCTGACCTCGGCTCGAATTGCTGGCTCGGGACGCCTGTTTCCTCGTCGGTCGCCTTCCGTGTGGCTCTTTCGCAGACGCAACTTCCACCTTCCAGGCAAGCAGCATGTCGCTTATGGGTGGCTTGTTGTGTATCCAAGTGGCTGTGAAAAGGACCTGGGTAAACCCAGGCCGAAGAAAGAATATTGCATTGCACTGTCGCGTCCCAAATCCTCTTCCCAAATGTCGCTACAGGGTCGGCAACCCACTGCGAGAAATACCTTACCGCACAGCGAGCGCCACATTGGCGCGACATTCCCGTTGCGAAAGAGGGCTGCCCTGCATCCATTTACCACGTTTCAGCTATACCGAATGCGGAGTAGTAGGGTCATACAATCAAGCAACATGACAAGCGATCTTCCCGTCTTGCTTTGAACAAGAATCCCCCTCCATCCGTGTAGCTCTTTCATTAGTTTGCGCCCGCTGCGGCTCATTGCATGACGTCCAAAGCAGAAGCTCCGCATTGCAGCGGGACCACCATGGACTCTAGTAGGTTGCCGCACACGTGCACCACCTGGCGTGAAAGAGGAAGGACATGTGAAACGTGTATTTCTCCGCTTCCCCCCAAACAATCTGGCGGCGCGCAGAAGGGGGTGGGGGGAGGGGGGAGGGCTTCTTAGAAGCAGGCTGCCTCTTAGAAGGCGCCGGCCTTACATCTACAGATACGGCCCGCGCCTTCTAAGAAGCAGGGGTGCTTCTAAGAAGCCCTCCCCCCTCCTCCCACCCCCCTCTGCGCGTGGCTGAACAATGCCTGCGAATGGAGGCTCTTGCTTGCCTCCTGGAACACTGGGCCCGTGTGCGGCCCCGTTCCGCTTCGTCGCCGCCCCAAAAGTCTCCCGACAGGAGACCGTTTCTGCGGCCCCGGCGGCCCCGTTCCCGCCCGTCGCCGCGTCACCGTTGCCCCCCCCCCCCCCCACCTGCATTGCAATCGCATTGGATTCGAGATCGCGCAGTCGCAATCGCATTGCATACCCATTGCTTTGCGTTGCTTTGCGTTTCAGGGTCTTGTGTCGCATCACGTTGGTTTGCACTGCTTTGCATGGCTCTAATATGTTGCATGTTGCTTAGCATCGCAGTGCACCGCTTTGCATTGCTTTGCAGTGCTGCGCGTTGCTGTTCATTGGTTTGCATTGCTTTGCATTGGTTTGGATGGCATTGCGTTGCTTTGCGGTCCTTCGCATTGCAATCCTATTGCAATCGCATTGCTTTGCATTGCAATCGCATCGCATTGCGTAGCATTGCATTGTTTTGCATAGCATTGCTTTTCATGGCGTTGCATTGCGTTGTATTTCCTTTGCGTTGAATTGCCTCGCATCGCATTACATTGCATGCATTGTGTTGAATTGCATTGCGTTGCTTTGCGTTGCAATGCTTTGCTTTGCATTGTTTGCATACCTCTGCATTGCGTTACATGGCTTAGCATTGCTTCGCACCGCATAGATTGCGCCACATAGGTTGCACCACAACGCTTGCACCACCTACATTGCACCGCATGCGCATATTGCAAAACAACTACGATTCGGGGTCCACGCTGGTTACAGCGAAACAAATTATGCAGCACCTTCCATCCGTGTGTTGGCTGGCAGCGTTGAGAAGGCATACGCGCAACGCTAAGACCGGGGGGCGCATGCCGCACTCGGGCCGCCAGTCATCCGTGCATCTTAGGGATAACCGAAGCTTGAGGAGAACGATCGAGCGATCTGAGGGGAGCGGGCCCCCACCTCTCCACCGCGCGCCTGGGCAGGACGCTCGGGGGCCGTTCCTCATGCTTTCGATGCCCGCGTCAGCTTGTGAGGGGTAGCCGTCGATTGCTGAGGAGGAGGAGAATATCAATGAAGAGGGAAGAGGATGAGGAGGAGGAGGAGGAGCAGGAGGAGGAGTTCACTCCGCCCCCCATGCGCGCAGCTGGCCTGGAAGGACGCGATCAGGGTCTCGATCAGGCTGATCAGGGACCACTTGAGCTCCTGTCCGTTCGCTTGCTGCCGCTGCTGCTTACCATGTGTTCTTGTCACCCTCCAATCTTAACTCTTACACCCACATAATGTAATGGAAAGAGCGACCGATCGAATAATTACCCTCGCCAACCCCCCGGCCAACCCTTTCAGGCAAGGAGGTGCCCGTCAGAGGCAAGCTGGCACGCTCGGACTGAACTTCATGACAGCAGCGCTGGCACCAGAATGATTGCCGAACGCGAGCTGGCACGCTTGGAATGAGCTTCTTGGTAAGATCCTTTGCAATGCGACGCGCTCCAAAACGCCAGCAGGCACGCTCGGAGTGAGCTTCCTGCAAGCAATGCTGGCAATTCGATTCGCGGTTCCTGCGAACCGGCACGCTTGGCGGGTGGGTCGTCCTGGCAGTAACGCTTGCAGCGCGGAGTGCGCTGGAAACAAGCTGGCACGTCCACGAAGTTCATGGGAGGGGCACTGGAATGACACAAGACAGGCACGGCCTCTGTAGCGAGAGGCTCACGAGAAGTAAAAGCGCTCGCGCTGCAATGTGCGCTGGAAGCGAGCCCGCACGCTCGAGTGAACGTCCTCCTCATCCTTGTCGTCCTCCATCTCCTCGCCCTGCTCCTCTTCCTCCTCATGCTAGTCATCCTCCTCTTCTTCTTCTTCTTCCTCCTCCTCCTCCTCCTCTTTGTCCCTTCTCCTCCTCTTCCTCGCCCCCGCCGCAAAATTGTGTCCGAGGGGACGGGCCGGGGCGGGGGGAGGTGAAAAGAAGGAGAAGAAATCGGTGGGGGAGGAGGAGGAAGGGGCAAGGGTGGAAATTGAGCCTGGCCAGCCTCTAACCGACCCCATAAAACCAAACTCCTAACTAACCCCCCTCTGGATTTCCCAGATTGGAGCGTCGGACGCGCTTCGAAGATAAGATGACGAGGGCGTGGGCAGGGACGGGCACGAGAAGGCAAATCGATATTTCTCGGCCCCTACGTGGAGGCTCGAGTCCCTGATGCTGCAGGCTAGCGAGCTTGAGGCCTGCATGACTCAGACAAGACATGACGTCAATGATTTTCCAAATCCCACGCAATTCATGTGTACACCTTGTTGAAACCTGTGTGTCATGCTCTGACCCAGCAGCTGCAGCGTCGTCGATAGATCTGCGAACGGCGAAAGCCGACACTGCCACGCCCAAGCCCCTTACCCCCCCTGGCGGACAGACAGTGAGGGAGGAAAGAAGACGAGATGGATGATAAGGGATAAGTAGCTTCAGGAAGATGAGGGCGAACAACACAACGAGGACGACGATAACATAAGAAGGTGCTGGAGGAGAACGAACAGGCGGAATATGACAATGCCGAGAACTTCGAGGGGTATTGGGATAGAGATTCGGCACTACCACTTCCAATAGCAAAACTTACTTTAAGATGGTGTAGCCTTCCTCGGCAACGATAAACCTGGCCCCCCCCTGGCCAACCCCCAATAACCCGGCCAACTAACTCTCCCCGCCCCCCCGGCCAACACTGGTTCTTAGGGACATTTCTTCCCATAAGGCATAATCCGCCGCCATGCCTTCAGTACGTAGTGGAGTGCCCCAAGGTTCATGCAATCCTGGGAGGTAAAGGGTTTGTAAATTCTTAGAAGGGCCCGGACCACGAGATTCCAGGAATCTCCAGGCATTTCCAGGGTTGCTCGCGTGGGCCTCTGGGACGTTGACCCTGCTCAACCGACCCTGAGAACTTCAAGGTGTCCTGAGAAAAGCCCAAGAGCGTCCAAGAGGACCCATAACGCGTCAAGACTGCCTTCGATGCCCTCCAGACGGCCCAAGGGGCCCCCAAGAAGCCCTCAGAGTCCCAAGAGGGTCGCAAGATGACAAAATCATGAACGTTCCAACGGTTTTTTGAAGGATTTGAGCCGTCTCGCCTCTTCGGGCTTCCGACGCGCCAAAGCGGTCCAAAAGGCCCCTAAGATCGTTCCACGAACGCCCAAGAAGCCACCAAGAAGGCCCCGAGACGGCCCAAGAGGCCTCCAAGACGGCCCAAGAGGCCCCCCAAACGGCACCAAGATGGCCCCAAGGGGGCCTCCAAAAGGGGCACTCACATTTTGCACTCTCTTCCCCAAGATGACTCCCGAGACCGCCAGCATGCCCCCAAGGGGCCTCCCAAAATCCCGGGATGCCCCGAAGAAGCCCAAATCAGGCCGCAAGCGGCCCCCAAGAGGCTTCCGAGAGAACTCCCAAGAGATCCCCACAGGCATCCAAAAGGCCTCTCGCGTACAACCTCGGCACGATGGCGAGACGGGCCGAAGGCCATCCGCCGTCCCCCGTTGATTCATCACTGGTGTGCACGCCATGCAGAATTTCAAGGGTCCTGTTTTTTTGCCTGAAAGACTCCCAATGGGGTCTCGGCCCAACCCGCTGGCCACCCGGACAGCCGCCGACCGCCCAGGAAAATAGGCAGGTCGCAAGTTTGTTCTACCAAGACGGTTCCAAGATGGCCTCCAAGACGGCTCGGATGGCCTCGAAGACGGCCAAGATAGCCCGAATAGAGCTCAAGATGACCGCAAGATGTCTCCAAGACGGACCACGAAGCTCCCAAGACGGCCTGAGATGGCCTCAAGACTGCCCAATATGGCCCAAGAAACGCCCGAGAAGCTGCCATGACAACCAAAGAGGCTTCCCAGAGGAGCTCCAAGAAAGCTACAGGAACAGCCACTGCGCCCGCGCATACGCACTCCGCGTTAATGGAAACATGCGCCTCAACACACATACTTCGACTCTCGAGTCCTTTCTGGACGCACTGGGCACATATGCCAATAGATGAGAAGCCACGTGCCCTGGGTGATGGATGCCCATGTGCAGGTCATAATCGTACCTTCATTCGCTTGGAGATCCTGGACCAAGTTGAGCCAGCATGTCTTACATGCTGCCCTGTGCTGAACAGACGTGGCATGTACACTGCGTATGGTAATATCTGAGCAGGTGAGTACATATACTTGCCATACCCTTCTGTTCGCAGCTCCTCTGGGGTGATGTCCTTCACTTTGGTGTTCTGGAGAAAATCCCAATAATACTGAAACTGCTGCACGAAATGGTGTTGGAGCATCGGCCTCACCTGAAAAGCACGATGTGCAGAGTTCGCTATGCTTCCACGATGCTGCCATTCTCCAGCTCAACTTTCGCCTACCTCGCCTGCCCTGCGGCAGCATTCCTCCTCACCCTGGCGCTCGACAACACCCACCACAAGGCTAGCGCGCTCGGCACCTGGAGCAACCTTCCAGACATGGCAGGCACACGTGGCGAGCTGGAGTGCACAATGCGCGGCATTGCCACAGAGCAGCCAGCCATCAAATCCTCGCCTGCTGATCACCAACCGCACGTTGCATCACACGCGCTCGGACACGCTGGGTGACGCTATCGTTGCCATATCCAAACGGATAGCCCCGATGTGATTACACCGTGCACTTCCGGCGTCTGAAGTACAGTCGCCAGGCATAGCTAGACGTGCATGCAAAGTGCTGTGGTATCACGACCGTAGTAGTGGCAGTGCAGTGCACCAACATAATGAACATGCCAAGAGTCTGCCGCCGTGTCAAAAGCATGCTAGGTTATGTTATACGCCTCCCTCGCATGACGCGACGCGACGTCTGCGACAACGAGAGCGGGTCTGATAATCTTGACACAGGGGCGTGCAATAATGCGCGGCACTGGGAAAGCTCTACATACGACAACCCCCCGCTCGCGTAGCCGTGCCATATACCGCCCCAACGATTTCCTTCCCGGCGCCCTTTTCGGCTCCCAGACAGCCTCAGTACGGCCAAGGTCGCCCTAAGGCGGCTGCACGAGTCACGACGTCACAAGACCGACCCCCAAATCCTCGTAGGCTCCAAGAGTTTCAAAGAAGCCACCAAGGGGCTTATCACGAGCACAAAGTCTTGGGAGGCCGAAAGCTTTGTCTTTTGCTTCCGGTGATTCTTGCTGAAAATGACATTCGAAGGCCCCAAGAGGGCCTCATGATGCCTCCCTGACTGCCCAAGATGGGCCCCAAGAGGGCCCAAGACGGCCCGAGCTCCATTCTAGCCCAAGATCGCCCAACAAAGCTCCCAAACGGCCCCAATCACCCGTCCACACGGCCCTGATGTCATTTCACCGAGCCTTTTCTGGAGAGCTCGGTAGAACGACCGCGCCCCCAACAGCCCCCAAATCCCCAACAATCCCACAAGAAGCCCCGCATTAGCCACCGCGAGGCCCCCTAGAGGACCCTCTGGAACCCGAGAGGCCCCAACGAAATCTTCAAGAAGCCAGAAGAGGAGGAGGAGGAGGAGGAGGAGGAGGAGGAGGAGGAGGAGGAGGAGGAGGAGGAGGAGGAGGAGGAGGAGGAGGAGGAGGAGGAGCGGATTGCATCCCCTTTTGAACCAGGGCCGACGCAGCGTTACATGGTAGTCGTAGCGCAGCGTCCTGGACGGCCCCAAGGGGCCTTTGCAGGAGGGCTCGGTGGAACCAACGCGCCCGGGGCGATCCCAAGGAGTCCTGGGGGACCATTGTGGGAGGGTCCGTGGGGCCCTCCTCCTCCTCCTCCTCCTCTTCCTCCTCCTCCTCTTCCTCCTCCTCCTCCTCTCCTCCCTCCTCCCTCCTCCCTCCTCCTCCCTCCTCCTCCTCCTCCTCCTCCTCCTCCTCCTCCTCCTCCTCCTCATCCTTCCCTCCCTTCCTCCTCCCTCCCCCTCCCTCCCTCCCCTCTCCCCGGCCGCCCTCCCTCCTCCCTCCCTCCCTCCCTCCCTCCCTTCCCCCCGGCCTTGTCGCCGGGGCCCGGTGGAGCCATCCTGTGGAACTTCGGTGCTGCGCTGGCGCGGTGGCGAGGCTTGCCCCGAAGCAACCGAATCGTGTATCCGCGTGGATGGGCAAGGGCCCGGAACCCAACAACGTTTTCATCAATTGGGGGCTCATCTTTAACTCCTGCCAGCCTTACGCTGGCTTCCGCCGTCGGAGGCGGCCTCCTTTTACTTCCGCCGACCTTTCGTCGCCCTTTGCCGTCGAGGAAGAGATGACAACTCCTTCTATCATCGAAGCAAGGCCATGTTTCGAACGCCTCACATATCAAACTTCACAAATTTAGAATCCCTCACTGGATGGGATAAGCAATGAAAGCGGTGCCACCCTCTTTGGAGCACTTCTGAGCTGGCGCTTGGACTGGTCAATCAGCTTGGACACGAAAGCGTCCAAGCGGTCCTCGAGCGGCTGCCGCCAATGGATCCCACGATCGCAGGGACTGCGAACTACAATTGCTCAAGGCAGGAGGAGAGGCAACAACATTGAGAGGACCATCGCTCTCTTGCCACACAATTACATAACGGTGCTGCCGTCACCACTCGGACTTCACGATACGGAGCCCTAGTCGTAGCGCACTCGAGCTCGAGCAAGACATGGTGCGATATGCTTGGGCACGCTCAAGCAGCTTCCCGGCCGAAGCAAGCAACCAAACATACGTGGTGAATTTGGTGTAGTTGCATTGTTTGGCTGATTTCGATATGTCCGCGATCTGTTTGCATGCTTCTTGGCCCCGTGCCCCACTGATGCGGTATCCTTTACTCGAACTCCTCCTCCGCGCCGGAATCGAATCCTCATTATCCGTTGCCTGGTCTTGCCATGAGCGGCCAATGTCCTACTGTCGGAATCTGAGCTGTCAGAATTTGAACGATGTATCGCCTGCAGAACTATGCGACCCGATCGGCTATTTTGAACACATGGGCACGTTCTGTAACTCGTAGATACTACCCTTCCCACGCATAGATTCCGGGTGCATCAACTCACATAATAGTTTCAAGTCCACCCGCTGGCCCGTTCTCCAACTGAACTGTGCCGAAAGCCTGTTTCGAGGCTCGCGACAGCAAATGTGGGTTGCCATCACGTGGGAAACACAAGCCAACCTCGACCACCATAATGAAGCGGAACGTCAGGGGGTGACTAGCTCAGGGGGGAAGACATCGACCTGGAACCTGGAATCGGCGAGACATCGCCGATAGATCGGCGATAGGCCCTCGATAGCGATACCGCATGCTCCTCGGCGGGAATGGCTATCAGGCCCCGATCGGCGATGAATGGGCGAGTTGGGGTCGATGTATTCTCCCCGTCCTTCCCTAACGTTGCCTCTGATGACTCCCACCACAGCAGATCCGAGGTGAATTCCAAACGACAGTCTGCGTGTGGCCGTAGCACAAACCATGACTGCTATCCTGGCAGATGCTGGCGCCACGGCACGCACGAACCCAGGGCTGGCGCGCTCACCCAGAGCAGCCTGGAGAGACAACGGCGCCTGCGAATACTCGTGTTAAATTACTTTCCTTACGCGAAGGACGCTCCTGCCGCACTCTCTTCTCTGCCCCTCCTGTCCGCATCCTCTCGTCGCCCTCACTGGCACGGGAGGAGGGTTAATACGCGTGCTACGTATGTCTTCAAATGCCCACATTTCCGCTCGAGGTCCACTGCGTCCTTGGACCTGTGTGGCAGTCGACGGATCTCACCGAGCGGCTCCTGTCCTGTCATGTCCCTACGTGAGGAGCGCATTTCGGGGCGCACGACGGGGAGAGATAGCATAATTAGGGGTGGGGTTGGCGAGTGAGCTGCGTGCAGCTTTTTCTTGTGCCACCCCGCGCCAGAGGCGCCGATGTATTGAGCAAAGCGCCTGGCGGCAGGGCCGAAACGAGGTGCTTGCAACAGATTCTTTACCTCCCCTCAAGTCTGACGCTGCAGAGCAAAATGCAGCATCGCGAAAAACCACGACCAAAGCCGAACACCTGTCCTTCTGCGTTGTTTTTCGACCCGGATCGATCTGTGGGGGTCCCAGGGCCCGAGCCCGTGCGAGAAAAGAGAAAGCCCGTTGTGACACAAATGCAGCGCCAGGATCTGCAGGTCCTCTTGCCCAGTCCCCCCCCCCCGCCCTTTCGCAAGACCCAGGCAATTTGGAGGAGGCCGCTCCGTGGTTGGCATCGACTTGTTCTTGACGTTGCTGTCAATCTGCAGCGCGACCTCTGGCTTTTGCTTATCCACTCGCGCGCTGCGCTCGCGGACTTCCAAGAAACATCGGGCGGCACTCGTTTCTGGAGATGGGGCATCTTGGAGCGTGTCCGTATCGTGACTCCTTGGCTCCTCTGAGACAGCCGCCCGAGGGACGTGCACAAGGCGCCCTCCGCGGCGACGAAGCATCGTGCGGCCGCCAGCCGCCTTGACGCGCGGGGCAAACGTTGCAATCGGGCATGTGCCGACCGCGCTCGAGACCAATCGATGTTGTCCTGGACTCCCGGACGGGGACCACGGCGTGGCGGGCATGCAGGGACAATCTTTGGCTTGGTCGCAACGGTGGCGAACGCGTGCGGCGTCTGTAGCCTACTCCAATAGCCCATATGAGTGCGACAGGGCGACGCCTCAAAGCAGCCCTGCGCCACCGCGTTGAACGTTTCAAAGCTGCGCCAAGGCACTACTCTTAACGATAAGGAAAAATCCGACCACAGGGGGGCAGCAGATGCAACACCTGGGGCAATTGGTGCTATTAGACGAACTGTACACAGCCAGGCGGGCGACAGACAAGGGCGTCCGCGGATGAGGAGGGAGGAGGGACGGAGAAACAGGACCCCCCGACAAAACAAGCGCTCCAGCTCGTCCAAGGGGTGCAGTCAGCGGGTCAGGTACCAATGAGCAGGGTCGCGTGCACTGTGAATTAGTCACTGTATGTTGCAGTACGAAATAAGCCACGACCCCCAAAAGTGTGCCGCTGATCCGGCGATCGGGCGCATGCAAGACATGATGGCATGATACTAAGAAGAAACGCCAGAACGCCAGGCCCGAGAAACCACACACGCACAAGCGCCCCAGCCACCCCCTTCCCGTGCGATCACGACCACCAGCGATCGGTCCGTGCTTGTCGCGACGAGCGCGGCGATCTGCGGCGCGTCCAGGGGACGACGGCGACGACGACGACAGCGATGACGACGACGACGACGACGACGACGACGACGACGACGACGACGACGACGACGACGACGACGACGACGACTGGTGGCGACGACGACGACCGACGGCGCCGATGGACGAGCGACGAAGACGACGATCGACGACTGACGACGTCCCCGACCGCCGACCGCCGAACAACGAGGACGACCGTCGTCGACGACGGCGACGGACGAGGACGACGCTCGACGCACGACGACGAACGAAGAGGAGCACGACTCGGCGGCATGCACGAGCGGCCCCGGGCCAAGGAGTGGCCTCTCTGGTGCGCGGCCCTCCGAGTGCCGCGTGCGCTGCGACGGGCGCGGCCCACATGCCTGGGCTTGGCCCCTCCGCGCCCCCGGGCAGCCGCGCACCGAAGGTCATTCCGGAGAAGGGCCACTCTTACCTGTGATCCAAGGGAGCAAGCCCTGACCTTCCAGGAAGGCCAAAACATAGCACCAGGGCTTTGACGCCCAAGTTCCGGTCGAGGACTTAGGCAGTCCAGATCGGTCTGTTGGTCTGGAGGGCTATTTGTAGCACTCTGGGAAATCAGGGAACAGTCCCCCCCCCAGAAGATCCCTTGCAACAAATGATGATAGAACTCCTTTTTTTCGGCGGCCCCCCTCTGGCGAAGGGTCACTTCGGCGAAGGAGTATACCGCTCCCTCCCTGGCCCCGGTGCCAGAACCATTGCAATCTCCTCTGGTAAGGGGGGGGGCTGATTGCTTGACAAGGTTCGCCGAAAAGACGGCGACGGCCAACAACGACGGACGATCGCGCGGTCTGGCGATCGGCCGTGGCGACACCGAGCGCGGGGCCCGCTTGAGGTATCTGACAAGGGGCGTCGCGGTCCAGGCCCTGAAGTCAGGGCCTGCGCCGCCCGCTGCCGCCGCTCGGCGCGGGTGTGCGGGGGGCCCGCGCGGCGTGTCGGGGACCGTCACGAGCGGCGAATTTGTCCGTGCCCGTGCCCTCGCAGCCTGGGCTCCAGGGCGCGATCCCGCGGACACGCGGTCGCACGGATACGTGCCGCGCGGGGCATGCGCGAGAACACACGCCGTCTCCGCGGGGTCGCGGCCAAGGGGCCTGGCCCGCGGGGCCGCGGATACGGATACCTTCGCCAACGAGTATCGGGGACCGGGGCCGCGGACTGGGTGGCTGGATCTAGGCCCAAACCCTCGGCGTGTTGCTAAACAGCAGCGCGGGCACTTTTTTGTTGCAGTTTTGTGCCCTCACTGGGTCCTCCAACATTTTCGCTAGTTTTGGGCTTCCGGGACTGTCGAAGAACAACCCAGGATGAAGAGCTGTCCCTAGTGCTCTAAGAGCCGTTTCCCTCAGGGAATGGCTCCGTCACACCGATGTGTAGCAATTCTGGACCTCATGGACGCCAATTTCGGACTCCGTCGCTGTCAGGAAACGGCGCCGAATGAGAAGCCAGCCCCGGGAACTGGGTAGAGAAGTCCAAGGCCCATGTCTCGCAAGCAAAGGCGCACGTCTGAGTATGGGGCGAGGGGGGGAGGAGGAGGAGGAGGTTGAGACTCAGGAGGCGCAGGATGACGAGGAGGATCAATGTTTGCAACGTCCTTGAGGGACAGGATGGAGGAGGAGGAGGAGGAGGAGGAGGAGGAGGAGGAGGAGAAGGATATCGCGTCGCCGCTTGTGCGTGCTGAGTGCGCACTTGTGATGAAAAAGAAAAAAAGGAAGGAAGAGGCCGCTCTTACCAGCTTAGGCCCAGTGCTATAAACACCTGGTGCTACAAAGGCGTCAGCAACATACTTAGCAATGAGCAGAGCAATGGCCAATGCAAACAAGAGAAAACACAGTTGCGAAGGCCAGGATTACCGCGAAGCTTGAAAGGGTTGCGCTCTGTAGGATCCCGTACATGGCAATCTGACATCTTGGGCCAATTGAACCCAAGGATGAGGACAACTCCAATGGAACAGATGCCCAACAGAGAGCGCTGTCGGACATTGGCAGCGACTGCTGACGTGGCGACGTCTTTCGCAAAACACATTAAACATTGGGACCGTCCGCAGGGAAACGGACAACGATCTCTGTTCAAAATGCAAGTTCTGTCAGTCACCGTCTCCATTCGTATCGTCCCAGTGCCCACGTTTCAGAGCTGCCTGAAAAATATACTGTCCTACCCGCACGATGGTTTGGCTCCTTTTCGAGGGCGCTGACGAGCAACACGCAAACTTCGACATGCCAACAGCCGCAGATCAAATGATTCAGACCTGTCCGCATTCTGGTCGTTGTTGTTTTCGCCGGTCCACTGTCTGTTGACCGTTTTTGGGGCCCTGCCCCTACCAGGACGCGTATCGTTATGCGCTTCTTGAGCGGGCGGGGTAGAAATCTTGGCCGCAGCTGTCTTACGGCTTTCGTGCCGCGGGTTGTATGATGTCTGCTCCAGGACTTCAACACGAGCCCCCCCCCAGCCACCACTCAGAGAACACAATCGGCCGTCCTGGTTGTTTAAAGGACCGCGCCGGCTCCCGAACCACAACGTGGTCGATGAAAGGCCCACAACGGCAGCAGCGTCCCCGTTGTGAACCTCTCGTCGAGGCCTGGCTGCTTGAAGGGGTCTCGACCCACAACTGAGCCATGAAAGCGGTCAAACAGCCGAGCAGACAACAAAGGCACGGCAGGATCTCTCTTACCGCAGTTGTCAGAATGCTTACCGACTTCTGCTGTCCCATCGACCCGCGCTGGAGCCTCCACGATTTCTCCATCTTTATCTGGACACCTCACTGGATCTACCTAGATCAAACTGGATCTACATTAGTCTGCGTTGACGTACCTCGATTTATCTGGCTCGCTCCCGTCAAGTCTCTTGAAAAAGAGCGCCGAGCCTGTACAAGGATACAGGTCGAGACCGAGGGGGCCGTGCCGGCCGGTGGACTCCCGACAAGACGCAGCTGCTGCAGAGAACCCTGGAGCCCAGAGAAACCTCCCCCCCCGAGAGCATGCAGACCCACGAAGGCGACGAAAAGAAACGGGCCTTTCGCGATATGACATAGCTACATTACGCGGTGGCCTACGCGGGCCGCTGGCGTGGCACGCCACATTGGGAACGAGAGAGCTTGAGCGCACGATTCCAAGCAATGAAAAACATTGCCAAGCAATGCTGTGTATTACATTGCTCACGGCCGCTGTGAACAGCACTGGGAGAAAATAGACGGCCCTTGATTGGGATTGCACCAGCCTCATGTGGGAAGGCAGATCAGCCTTCAAAAGGTCCCACCCTCCCAGTACGCAGCGAAAGCCATCGGGCACCTCGGCACTTGCTGGGACATGCACACGGCCAGCCTCCCATGCCTGAGCCAGATCGAACCGCGAGATCCGATCGGGAGGGAACGAATCGGGTCGCGCCTAGATCGTCGTGGAATCGAATCGTTTGGGATCGCTGATGAGGCTCGGCCCCTGCAGGCCAGAGAGGGAGCTGGCTCGTGTCCGACCGGATGGGATCGAGATCGGATCCGAAATGAGGGATCGGATCGGATCGAACCGCACCGTGAGCAGCCCTGCCTTCCCCTTCCCCTGGGCCCCAAGTGTGGCGAGGAGGTCCGTCTCGGCCATGCCTTTCTCGTCGGAAGGGGTTCGCGGGCCGCTCCGTTTCTTGTACCGCGGCCTCCAGCGACCCCCTTTTCGCTCTTCTGTCCCTGTCCTTCCTCCTCCTCCTCCTCCTCCTCCTCCTCCTCCTCCTCCTCCTCCTCCTCCTCCTTCCTCCTCCCCCTCGTCCTCCTCCCCCTCCTCTTCCTCTTTCTTCTTCTCTTCCCCGTCTCCGTCCCTGCACTCCTGCTGCTCCTCGGTCTCCTGCTCATCACGCTCCTCCTCCTCCTCCTCCTTCTCCTCCTCCTCCTCCTGCTCCTCCTCCTCCTGCTCTCCTCCTCCTCCTCTCCTCCTCCTCCTCCTCCCTCCTCCTCCTCCCCAAACTTCTCTTCTTCTCCTCCTCCTCCTCCTCCTCCTCCTCCTCCTCCTCCTCCTCCTCCTCCTCCTCCTCCTCCTCCCCAAACTTCTCCTCCTCCACCTCTTCGTCCTGCTCTCCTTCAGGGCCGTCCTCCCGCGCCTCGCTGTGCTCCTCCATCCTGCCTGCCTGCCGCCGCTGGGCGCTCCTCGCTCCCAGCCCTGTGCTGTGCTGCTCGGGTGCTCCCTTCTAACTGTAGGTCGGGCATGTCCTCCTACAGGCGGACTTTGGGCGAACAAAAATATCGGGCCCAAAAAGATTCAAGACACATCGAACAATAATACAAACATCGTCCCCAGACTAATGTTGGACTTTTTTTGAATTTTCCCCCTGTGGAGGGACACGCCCGACTCAATTCTAACTGTCGGGTCAATCTGTGTCCTGTGAATGGCCAGTTGCAGAGGGGAAGGAGGAGCAGCAGAGGGATGACTTCTGACTTCTCATGTCCCTATCATGACCAGGCCCTGCTCATTCCACTGCCCTCCCAAACTGTCAACAGGTTGTACATGGTGCCAGCCCAAAACATTATCCTGGCGAGGGACCCAACCATATGCAATTGTGAGAACTCCCGGTGTGAGAGCCGCAATCGGTGAAACTTCCGACGGAACCGCGAAATGCGTGAAGAGAGCGCCGGAATGGGGTGGGGCCGCCATGCGGGCGCTGCCGCTGGGGTAACCCGCATGGGGCGCGGATGACAGCCGGAACAGGGTGTGCCAAAATAAAGGAGTGGCGGCATGCGGGCGCAGCCACTGGGGCCTTAGGTGGAGCTCTCTATGGGGCCACGAAACGTTTGATGGGTGTGCCCACATGAAGGTGGAGGCGACATGCGGGCGCAGCCACTGGGGCCTCAGGTGGCGCTCCCTATGGGACCACGAAGCGTGTGAGGGGTGTGCCAAAATAAAAGGGGTGGCGGCATACGGGCGCAGTCACTGGGGCCTTAGGTGGAGCTCTCTATGGGGCCACGAAACGTGTGAGGGGTGTGCCCGAATGAAGGGGGAGGCGGCATGCTTGCGCAGCCACTGGGGCCCCAGGTGGCGCTCCGTATGGGACAGCGAAACGTGTGAGAGGTGTGCCAACATAAAAAGGGTGGCGGCATGCGGGCACAGCCACCAGGGCCTTGGGTGGAGCTACCTATGGGACCACGAGACGTGTGAGGGGTGTGCCACATTGAGGGGGTGGCGGCATGCGGGCGCAGCCACTGGGGCCTTGTGGGGCTACAAAACGTGTAAACGGTGTGACCAAATGGAGGGGTGGCACTATGCGGGCGAAACCACCGGGGCCTGGGGTGGAGCTTCCTCTGGGGTCACAAAGCGTGTAAGGGATGTGCCAAAATGAGGGGGCGGCGGCATGCGGACGCAGCCACTGGGGCGCGCTCCCCATGGGACCACGAAACGTGTGAGGGGTGTGCCAAAATACAAGGGGTGGCGGCATGCGGGCGCAGCCACTGGGGCCTCAGGTGGAGCTCTCCATGGGACCACGAAACGTGTGAGGGGTGTGCCAAAATACAAGGGGTGGCGGCATGCGGGCGCAGCCACTGGGGCCTCAGGTGGAGCTCTCCATGGGACCACGAAACGTGTGAGGGGTGTGCCAAAATACAAGGGGTGGCGGCATGCGGGCGCAGCCACTGGGGCCTCAGGTGGAGCTCTCCATGGGACCACGAAACGTGTGAGGGGTGTGCCAAAATACAAGGGGTGGGGCCTTAGGTGGAGCTCTCCATGCGGCCACGAAGCGTTAGGTGGAGCTCTCCATGCGGCCACGAAGCGTGTGAGGGGTGTGCCCGAATGAGGGGGGAGGCGGCATGCGGGCGCAGCCACTAGGGCCTCAGGTGGCGCTCCCTATGGGACCACGAAACGCGTGAGGGGTGCCAAAATGAGGGGGTGGCGGCATTCGGGCGCAGCCACTGGGGCCTTGGGTGTAGCTCCGTACGGGGCCACGAAGCGTGTGAGGTGTGTGCCAAAGTGAGGGGGTGACTGGAGGAGGGAGAAGCAAGAGGAAAAGGAGGGAGGAGCGGGAGAAGGAGGAGAGGAGTGGACGCGGGTATCTCTCGTCAAAACGAGGACCCAACACCACAGGAAGGTTGGGAGCAAATAGGACACTTACAATAGAACCCAGGCCAGAATTACATCCTTCAAGATCATGGGACCCTCCAACCCCCTCCCAACCGGCCTCGATCTTATGCCTCGGTCCGACTGTACATTTAAGTGCCCAACCCAACGAGACAACGGATATCAACATTCTCGGTAACGTGGCCAGGCCCTACCGTTGTGCTCGGCCCCGTCCAGACTCTGCGCTGTCGTTCGAGCCAGAACCCACTCCGCGACATGAAGGCGTAACATGACAGCAACAGTCTTGTCCAGCTGCGAGGCACGGACATCTCTCTGACGGTAAAAGCCGAAGTAAACATAACCTGTCTGACATCCCTGCGGATTTCTTGCGCGGAGCGCGCTCGGGTGCGGCGCCAGAGGCGCCGACAGGAGTGTGAGTGAGGGGGGCCAGCGCCGACCCGAAAAACCCACGCTGACGTCCGACCGTTTATGTTCGTGCTCTTCCGATGATCACTGAGGCGCGGATTGCCGGCGAACGTGGGGCCAAGGCACTGCAACCCCGTCGCACTGCACGCGCTGCACGTGCACTAGCCCTTGTGGGCCAATACTTTGCTTCCGCTGGCTTTCGCCGATGGCGAAGATGCGCCGAGGGCGAAGCCCATTCTGGAACGCCTTGCATGTAATGCTGCCCTCGCCGCCCCCCCCCCAGGCTGCAGTCCAGACGCTGAGACAAGGAGCAGTTTGGGTTCGGAGGGGGCTTGCTGTCCCTGATATGCATGGTCGCTCTTCCAGCGCTCCTCGTGCATCCAGTCGCTCTTGGGGCGCAGCGACAAGCTGCGTTCCAGTTGTCGCTCCTTTATGGCAACAGCTTGACTTTATATCTGCCCCTGGTTCTGCAGCCACCCACCTTGAGGGGCAACGACAGAGTGGGACCAGCTCAGTGGGCAAACGCCAAGCTTGGATCGGCGATGCATCCCCTTGAGGGGGAGGGGGGGGGGTAAGAGGCTTTCTCGTACGTGTTACAACGTTGTGTTTTCCAACTTGGCGCCCTGGACCACACCTCAACAAAAACCCAAGCCTCTCCCCCCCCCCCAGGCCTGGGACCCCCTCCCCGGGGCCTGGGACCTCCCCCCCGAAAACCTTCCCTGAGGGGAGGCTCGGGGGGTCTTACGACAGCAACTAAACTCGGAGGAGAAAAACTCGGCCAGGCTGAACTCGGCCAGCTGCACTCAGCCAGGCTGAACTCGGCCAACTGCTGTCGGCCATGCGGAGCTGGGCCAGGCTTTACTCGGCTCGCCCAGGCCAGGTTCAGCCTGGCCGAGGCCGGATTCCGCCTGGCCGAGTTTCGCCTGGCCGAGTCTTTCCTTTGTCTTCCAGGGGGGGGGGGTCAGGGAACTACCACACTGGTCTCGACTTACATGGTTTTTGACAGGAGCCCAATGCCTTCGCCGATGGATGGGAGATCTGCCTCCGAATCCGCGCGCGTTTCTGGGCGGGGTGGACCACCGCACACCCATCGACGATGACTGGACGACTGGGGGCCGATGCGTCCCCCCGCTGAGCCTGCCCCCCGGTGGCTTTCGGGTCATGCTCGGGCCCCTGGTGGTCAGTCGGGACGATCGGCCCCCCCGAGAACGCTCTCGGCGAGGCGCAGCTGCTGGAAGGCATCCCGAGTTTGGAAAGCCGCGGAGAACCAACGAAAGCGCCCGAACACCTCAAGCCTACCCCCCTGACGTTGCCCCCCAAACCTGTCCCCCCCTAACGTTGCCCCCCCTCCCCCAATCGGGGACGCACTGACCCGGGTCCTCCGGTCGGCACACGCCCGGGTCAGCCAGGGCCACGTCGCGAACCCAAGCTGGCCACGAAGTGGCTCCCGAACCCAGGCCAGCGGAGGGCTGGGGAGCGGGGTCGGCTCCGGGTGGCTCCCAGACCCGGGTCGGCCAGAGGACCTCGGAAGGGCTTGGCCGACCCCTGTGAGCGCCGACCCCCGCTACAGGAGCCCCGACCCAAGCGGCCTCCACCTCGGCCGGCACCTCCAGCAGCCCGGCGTCCAGGGGGGGCCTGCCCGACCGACCATCCCCTCGGCGGCCCCGTGGGCGACGCCGCCACTCTGCCGAGCTATGCCGCGACCCTCTCTGGGAGTCAGGGAGGAACACGCTTCTGGATGCCTCGAGGCGTCTCCGATCCTGCCTCGAGGAATGAATGAATCGCATCGTCAGGAATGAATGAAAGGGTTTTTTTTCTGGCCACGGCGGGCCCAGGCCACAAGCAGATTCCACGACAGAAAGCTATGGTGCGGCCCGAAGGCTCGAGCCCCTCCTGAAGCCTCCTGGAACGTCTGTGGTCAGGATCCGGGTCGGAAGTACAGCTTGCGACCCCTGGCCTCCTGCTCCCTGCTGCTCGCACCCACGGCAAAACAATTATTCACTGCGTGGAGCTCCCCATATGTGCATCTATTAGCGTGGGCCTGTCCGCCGTGAGTGTCTAGGCGCAAGAATTGTCGAATCTTCACGGGCTTGAGTATTGACGGTCTGGGAGTGAATCTAACTGTGAATGAGTTAGAGTGTGAATGTGTCTCAGTAGTGCGAGCGTGTCTCTGCGCATGAGCCTGGGGCCTCTGGGGCCTCCTGAAACCTCCTGGTGCTTCCTGGAGCCTCCTGGGGTCTCGTGTGGCTTCCTGGGGCCTCCTGGAGCCTCCTGGGGCATCCTGGGGAGGATTCGTGCCCCAGGAGAGGCCCAATATATGGTCCAGGGCTTGGGCTCCCCCTCCCCCCAATGCTAATGCCATCGAGCCCCCCCCCCCCCCCGCGCGATGTCCCCCCCCCCCCCCCATGTGGGCGTGGCGTGGTGGCCCTCCCCCTGTGGGTGTGGTGGCCACCCTGTGGACGACATCGTCGGCGTCGTCGCCATCGTCGTCGTTCTCTGCTTCCGGAGAGTGGCGGATACATGGGGAGAGGAAGTGGGAGGGGGGAGCAAGGTAGGGAAGAGAAGGCCAGGGAACGAGGAGGGGGGAAGGGGAGGCGGACGGAGGGAGGAGGAGAAGGAGGAGGAGCATCGTCGTCGACGGTGTCTTCCCCGTCGTCGCCTCCCTCTGGGTGTGGCGTGGTGCTGCAGTGCTTCAGGGAGCCGAAGCGGGCGTCTTCGTCGTCGCCGCCGCCGCCGCCGCCGCCGCCGCCGCCGCCGCCGCCGTCGTCGTCGTCGTCGTCGTCGTCGTCGTCGTCGTCGTCGTCGTCGTCGTCGTCGTCGTCGTCGTCGTCGTCGTCGTCGTCGTCGTCGTCGTCGTCGTCGTCGTCGTCGTCGTCGTCGTCGTCGTCGTCGTCGTCGTCGTCGTCCCCCCATCCCATCTGGGGGGGGGGGGGGGGGGGCGAGGAATCCTGGGACCACGCCATCTGGGGGGGGGGGGCCGTGGGCCCGGAGCCTGGGATCATATATAGGAACAGACGTACATAAAACATTGCGGATTAGAGCCGCAGGAGAAGGGCAA